TTATTACACGTCAAAATCTTTATTTTTATATATTAATTATATATTATTATATTAATTAATAAATAAAAATAATATATTAATAATTTGTAAAAGTTGATTAATTCTACAGTATTTAAATTATTTTATATAATATTCTATCATAAAATTATTATTTTATTACTTAAATGTATATTCTTTCTTAGGTAATAATAATTTTATAACTTTCAATAATATTCTTGCATTATATTAATTTATGAACACACAATATGTATACAAATTAACCATAATTTTTAGCTTTGATAACAAGCTAATATTGCTGAAATTTTTTTTTTTTGTGTCTATAACTTTTTTTGCTTGATTTCTTTGGCTAATTTTGTTCAACTATGAAACAAAAGATTACATCTAGTTGAAGACACAAATGGAATACATCATCAAAATTGAAAGAAACTTCAATTTTTTTATTGAATAGGATATGAAGCTCTAATTATTAACTCGAGAATTTTCACACAAAAATAGCATTCGGTAGCCATTTTCACCATGAAGACAAAATAAAATCCGAAATTTTTTTTTTTTTCAAAATAAAGTACATTACGTTATCTTTAATTTAAGATATAAAAAAAAGTGTCAGACTTCCAGAACACTTTCAAATGTTAATTATAAAAGTAAATTTTTTGTGAAAAAGTTGTCATTTTAAATACCCCGTGTGGTCAGATAAAGGGTTACATTTATAAAAAAATATACCAAATGATAGGTAAACACATCCAGCATTTATTTAAAAAAAAATTTATTAATTTGTTCATTTTTGAAAAAGTTATAGCACTATTAAATTAAAAATATAAAAAAGAATTATTTTACAAAAATCGTATTTTTTTTTTATTAATTTTGATGTCTATTTTCACCGTGAAGACAAAATAAAGTCGGAATTTTTTTTTTTTCATAATAAAGTGTATTACATTACCTTTAATTTAAGATATATATAAAAGTGTCAGACCTTCTGGAACACTTTCAAAAGTTAAGTTGAAAAAGTTAATTTTTTGTGAAAAAGTTGTCATTTTAAATCCCTCCTGTGGACAGGTAAAGGGACAGATTTATAAAAAAAATATACCAAATAATAGGCAAAGACATCATGCATCTTTAAAAAAAAATTATATTGATTTGGTAATTTTTAAAAAAGTTATGGCAATTTTAAGTAAAAAAAATTGAAAAAATTAGCGATTTTTAAAATTGTAATTTTTTTGGAGGTTTCCCACATTTACGGGGAACGAGGGAAATTTTTTCAATTTTTGGGGGTAATGTCTTCGACTAGATACGATTTGTGGTGTTTTGACGTATCATTGAAAGAAATCGGTTCGGTGAGAACTGAGAAAAAGTGGTAACAGACACAAAAAAAAAAAACACATCATAGTAAAACCAATACCATCTCAGCTTTGCATCGCAGCTAAAACTTCTTCTTCATCTTCACCTTTATTCGAAATACTCAAAATCGTTCACACTTACTTTAAAGCCATATTTTTTTTATTTTTTATGCATATTTAACCTATTTACTTAATATAAATATATATATTTACATGATTGTTCAAGAAATAGTTAGTCCATGAACATGTGAGCCCTGATGATTAGTAAATTTTTATTCACCATATAATTTAATTATTTGATGATGCTTATGCTACAAAAATTATTTTAAAAATTCTAAGGTTCTATTTTAAATAATATCTGTGATTATTTTCAAAAAATGATATATCAATTTTAGTAAATTTTCGGAAAAGCAAACACAAAAAAGAAATTTCAAAGGTTTCATATGAAAAATAAAATTTGTTAAATACAAAAAACAAACCTTCCCGTCAAAATTTACTCATATTTTTTTAACACGTGAAAAAAGATATCTTTTCCTATACCTATGATAAAAATCTCAAACCCAAATTTTGAAATATATCAGGTCTTAGATTAAAGTCATAAATAATGTAGCCTATTCTCGATAAATTTTAACTGCTGTAAATTTTAAAACACACTTCCTTTCTTAATAACTTATTTCCTAAACTTGATACGTCACAAAAATGGTTTGAGATATTTATCATAAGTATATGAAAATATATCTTCTTTACATTTAATGTAAAATACGAGTAAACTCTTAAATTAAAAACGTTAAAAACCTATCTATTTTATATTAAATAACAGATTGATGTACACACAGAATATCGTAAAACTCTCATAATGTCATAATTTTTCTTTTTGGTGTGTTTATTCCAGGTACGTGATAACTAAGTAATAACTTAGTAATAGAGAAGCAATAAATTATGCTGAGTAAATTTATGTTATTAAACCACGTCTAAAATTATATAATAATAGCACAACTTGTAAAAATAACAGTTGAAACGCCCAATATGTAAGAGCTTACAAGATTTCTATCTAGACAAGTGATAGCCACTTAATTGAGTGTTTATGGGCTTTAAATGGGTTGGTAATTTGATATCACCCACCAAATTTTGTAAATTTACAAATTTGGTACAATATGGGTATAAGTTATTAAAGGATGATATCATACTACATCTATAATTGTAATTTTTTTTAAAACACTATTCTTAATTATAATATTTAGCTTCTGATAACTATTATTGTCATACAAAAATCCGGCTCAACGCACGGAGGACTACAATGATACCACATACCAAATGACAGGGGTGTCATTTTAAAAACCTTGTGGTGTTTAGATATTTATTTTTAAATTATGAAATTATAGGTACTAAAAAAAGAAAGTATCGACAAATTTGTAGAGCAACTTTTAACGGAGGCCACAATTTAGCCTAAGCAGAGAGACAGGTGCTTTAAAAAGCTAAATTTATTATCTAGTTACCATACTCAACTTAACTCTATTAATAATATACATATGTTAGCTTATAACTTAACGCACTACTTATAACATTAACTTAACTTAATTAATCAAAAAAGTCTGAATTTTCCTCAACTTTGTATATATTTTTTAAATGAAAAATATAGTGAAATGTATATGAATTTTATTTGTAGGCTATATTAGAATAAATTTTTTGTTTCTTCAAATAAAATTTAGTTGCTTCTACAAGTTTTTTATGTATATAATTTCTGACAAGTCTAACAATATATTTTAAAATAAAGTGAAGCCACTTTTTATAATAAAAATATATATAAGAAAACTTTTTTACTTTATAATAAATAATAGAATGAAAATTCAATACAAATAAATAATAACTATTGAAATATTTTTCTTCTAATTTTTACAAAAAATCTTTTATTATAAAATAAATTTTATCAAAGCGTAAAAATATTGCTTTCTTTTATAAATGAGTAATCATATTTTATTAACATCAATTTTAAAGACAAAAACCTCTACTGCTTATGATGAGACTTGAGAAGTCTATAATGCTGAGTAAGAGAAGTATCCCATTAAGAAAATCATACCATCGATGTTCCACTTAAAATATTCTTTTATACATTCTTGAGTTTTTCTCTTCAATCTAATTTTTATCAACACAAATATAATACTGTATTAAAATTGTAGCTGGTAATTTTATGATATCGTATAAAATACGATAATTTTACTAGTGTACTACTTTTAGTTGAAAGTTCTTACTATACTTAACTAAAAATAAGTTTGTGTTGAAATTACAGAGAATTTATCCCTTCCACTAGATAATCATAATGATCAGTGATTTTTATGAAAATTGGTAGCGCTAACAAAATGCTTGTAATTATTAAGATATTGCTACAGCTATGCTATTATAGCATGCATGTGCAATATAATTAAAATAATTTTATAAATAAATAAAAACTTAAATAATAATCACTTTTTAAAGGGAATAGCTGTAATAAGTAACCATTAAATGGTTATTGCTTACCTATGACAGCTTAATTTAAAAAATATATGTGTAACATAAGTTATTTATAACTTGTATCTTTTCTTGTATAATAAAACATATAAAATATTTTTTTGATTAAATGAAAGTACACATTATCTCCGAAAAACTATTCACGTAGATCAAAAAAATTTTTTTCAATACTTCGCCTAGATATTAAAAATTTTAACCTATTTTGAGAAAAACGTTCATTGCTGCCATTGTTTTTTGGCTTGTCGAAACCAGACTTGCCTATTAACATTCAAAAGATATCTTGAACATTTTATTGAAATATGTTTATTGATTATCTGGCGTGTTATTTATTTAATTTTTTATCGTTATTTGTATAGCGTTACTTTAAAATAAATAAATTAAATGATACCATGAAGTATCAATAAACTACTGAGGTTAAGTTCAATCATAAAGTAAGTAAATAGTCAGAGCCAAACAAAGTCCCCCGAGTCTTCGAAATTCTAAATACTGCCCTATAAATAATATTTATTATCAAAAAATTCAATGAATAATACATCACAACAATATGAATACTATCAAATCTTCATTATTGTGTTAAAAATAATTAGGAAAATGTTTGATTCATATAGTGTACTTATTAGAAAATATAATAAGTCAAGTCTGTATAACTAATCGTTGGTGTGGCATCAATTTACATTTTGTAACTTAGATATAATTAAATACTGTAGCACAGCTAACGATCGAACACGAAAATTCTATTTATAGCAATTATTAAGAGTTTCTATTACGTACTATAGAAGGGGGACTAGGGACCACGTGTGGTGTGTATTATTAAATCGAGTTACTCGAGTTCAGGTATAATTACTGTTTATATTACAACAAAATTAAATGAGCCATTTTTAGTTAAATTTGTTAGTTTTGTCTGAAAAATTGATTTACATTACAATACCTACAAAAAATAATGGATTTTATTTTGATAAAACACTCAATATTACTTATTATAATACTACTAATAATACTTATTTGAACATATTATGCTGTTAACATTTTTCAAAAAGGTTTTATACCCAAATTTATTAATCTATTATTACACATTCATGTTTATTTTTTTTATAAGCGAATCAGTTTAAAATGTATTATTTTACCTCATGAGTATAATATAATTTAAATGCTAAGACTTACTCGACTCGATGGGAGAAGTTAAGGTTGCCGTCTATGGCAACCAGTACAAAAATGGTGGTTTGATAATTCGCAACCACTGCGTTATCATTATTTCAAAATCCACAACACTAAACATAATAACCTCGAGAATATTTCAATATCAAAAAATGACGAACAATTCTCATCTACACATTGAACGGATCGATACACACGCCATAATGATAACAACACCAATATTAATCGAATTAAACCGAAAACCGTTAGAGATCAATTAAACACGACATTTTAAAATATGTAAACAATTTTAATAAATAATTACGATGTGGATGCGCCCGACGAGTACACTGCGGAGCGCACACGACTCTGCCAGTAGCGGTGGCACGTTCGCGCTATCACGACGCGCGACGACAGTTAGTAAAGTAATCCGGGGATTTCCTCAACGGCATGCCCCAGGATTTTCCAACGCTGTAACGTGTACACCCCACCCCTCCCTGACATTCATCCCCACCAACGTCTCCACTTTCTACATCCTGGCGGAAAATTGAGACCATCTCGTCCCTGGAGCGCTGCGCAGAGAGGTCGCCCCGTATTATCTCGTAGTCGAGTCTGACCGTTGGCGAACTCTGCAGTATTCACTACGAAACGTTGCGGACGTCATTATCTTGTAACGCAACGTCTTCTCCTATCGCTAAAAACGATTAGTCGATTAATATCATTTTACCGCAATGATATGTCGTGTACTGTACTTTGAAGTACAAAGCAGTACTTGTAATACGATGGCGACACTCAACCGTCGACACTCGGGGGTAGGTTGCTGTACGCTGAGACCACATACCTACAATCCCCTCACACGTGTGATCTCCACATAACGAATAACTAACATTTCCATGCCCTTCTTATTTTGAAGCGTGATCGAGTGACATTAACCACGGTTAATCGTTCAACTAAAATTTAATTTACTTTACACCTAAGAAGAGATATTCAGAATCCTAAGTTTTCAATTATAAACCATTTATAATTATTTAGAATATATTTGACACACAATATAATAGAACTTCGATACTTAAAAAGCTCTTCATTACGAAAAGCAAAAGAAAATCCAGACTGGTAAAATTGATACTTAAAGTATTGACATTTTTCATCCTTTCTTCCAAATATCTATAAATACTAAAGAATAGAAATAATTAATTATTTAAATTTATTTAAAAAAGGACGTTAAATTTACGTAAAATAATACTAAATATACATAAACGCTTCACACAGTTATACATTATTTTACCTATAAACTTTATAACATTTTTTGTGTGTAATTGATTAATTTTATTTAACAATATTAGAAATAATTACGTTTCATTCGGTTAAATTAAATCTGTAAGAAACATAGATTANAAGGACGTTAAATTTACGTAAAATAATACTAAATATACATAAATGCTTCACACGGTTATACATTATTTTACCTATAAACTTTATAACATTTTTTGTGTGTAATTGATTAATTTTATTTAACAATATTAGGAATAATTACGTTTCATTCGGTTAAATTAAATCTGTAAGAAACATAGATTAACACTTAGAAGTAGAAGAATTCTTACATGATATTTCTAGATTTTTAAATGACGTGAATTACTTTATTAAAAGTACATTCAAATATTCCAATAGTCGTAACAATATTCAAATTCGTTAACATTCATGTTAACGAATTTGTAGAATGGCAATGTAAAAGGGCACTTCAATGCGATTTGCAAAGCTCCGTATTTGTTAGCTCAATGAAAAAAAGTAAAACTTCGGATAAGATAAATTTAGATTCTTATTCAATGTGCAATTAAAAAATTTAAGTTGTATAGTAACATAACTTGTATTGGAATTTAACCAAAAATATCTCGTTTTTATTTCAGTACTTATATGGGAAAGTAACTTCTCAAAAGTATTTGAACTTTTTTTTAATAAACTACAGTTAACTTTAATAGCGTTATTTAGACTACATCATTGTGTAATTCAACAGTCATACCTTGACACTTTATACCTCTCTTGTAATTAGGACAGTAAATACCTTAAAGCATTATTTTGAGTTACCAAAACAACACAACCACTAGTGCCGCAAAAACCGAGTTTTGCTGGGTCACTATTTTAATCTCTGGCAAAAGGAGTAAATAGCTAACTACAGCTAAGTAGCTGTGGTACAAGCTATCACTAGTAATTTTTTTTTCGTAGAATAAACTCTATCAAATCTGTATTTACGAATGTGCTACGAGACAATTGTTTTCTAGAATACTCAAAAACGATTTTTTATTATATAATATGACAAGTCTATTAATTAAACGACCATTGAAATATATCAGTATCGTGCTTTTAAAGTCTCCGCAAATTAAATTTAAAGCAAAAAAGAGTTATTATTTTACTAAAAAAGATATTAATAGCCCCGCAAAATTAATTCGCAAAAGAACTCACAACATTTTAGTACGACTTAAATTTGAAACACTTGAATCTTAATTTTTTTAACCATATCTAAAATTTGTAAAAAGTCATAATATTTTTTATTATTTAATATCGTATAAAAATTAATTTTACAATTTTAAAGCAATGATTATTTAAGAGAAACTATAGATTTGTATTACCCCAGAATAATGTGAAGTTATTAAATAAAACAAAGAACTTTGAAATGATTACTGCCCTTAAGTGGTAATAATCTACACTTCCGCTGTTTTTGCAAATTTGTTGTTGTTATTTTTTAATATTTGCTATTATGAACAACACAAAACTTTATACTTAAAAGTTAAATAGTTCAAATATCATAAATAATTTATTTAAAGCTTTTCCCACAGTCCCTCTATAATCAACAACGTTTGCTTTATTACACATCTTCAACCATATGAACGAGACACTTCAAATGTCGTTCGCAGTCCATTTATTAACTGGATAACAGTAGAAAATAATACTGCACCTGAGCATACTGTGATTACCAAGATTCACACCTACACCACAATACATGATTGTTTTTACTTTTATTTTACGATAATAAGTAAGATAAGTTTCCCACAAAATGCTGCAAGGTAACCAGTGTAACCGGAGATCATATAAAGCAACCGACAAATGCTGTTGATTAGTGTCAATGGCTAGTTCAAAATATGCACTTGGAGTTTTTATTAAAAATTAAAAAACAACGATAACAAAAGAGGAGATTGCAAAAATTAGAACCAGTATTGCTGAAAGCCAAAGATTCAATCGGCAATAGCGACGAGGTCATGGTTATACTCAACCGCGCGCATCTCATAACATACGCCTCCTCTTGAAAGAGCAGCCGTCGAACGACATAGGCATTTAAATTATGCCACGTTGCCAAATATGCTGTGATATCCAGTTTGACGATTAGTTTCTCGGCAGCGTTTACGTTTTTATTATTGATTTAAGACACGAGAGAAGATGCGGTTTCCATAACAACGGAATACAGAGACGGAAGAGATACTAACGGTGGCAAGTGCCACGCCCGGCCGAACCAAACATCTCTAAAAGGATGTATTGCGCTCTCTGGCAGACTATGAATAATGTCCTTCATTATCAGTTGCCAAACGTGAGAGTATGTCAGAGTACCCACGTGTACCATTAGTAAAATGATAATAATAGAGATAAAGCAAATGAGAAATCAGAATTAATTTTTTGTATACCGAATTGTCATACTAGACAATGCAGCTTGATCAAATTATTATATAGTCATTAGAATGAAATAAATTACTGTAATCGAAAAGACTACAAGTTAAATTAAAAATAATATTACACACAATTCATACTAAACAAGCTGGAATATTAATGTATTAGTTAGAATTCAATGAAGTTTTTAAATTTAGATTTTATTTCATTAAATTCAAATGTATTCCTTTAATTCTTTTTATATCAATTACTAAAATATAATATTCATTAAATTCATATTTTATAGCCTTTAGTATAATATCACCAAGGACTACTCCTTTAAAAAAATATTAAAATTTCTATATTTTATTACAAAGAAGTAATATATAACTATAGCCTAAAACCACTAGAAAGACAAACTAGGCTACAAAAATTAAACAAAATAATAACAATTCTACTAGAAATAATAGTTAAAAATTACAAATATCTTAAAGACTTTAAATGACTGGATACATGCAAGACAAATTCAGTTTTCTACAATGCTAAAGAAAAGATTGTTAATGAACTATATATTTATGTTTACCAAATACATTTAAAAAAATTATTTTTATTTGTTTGCAATATTGGTCATTTCATTTAAAGAAATAAATAAGCAGGATAACTCAATATTTTGTCAAGATACAATTTTCAGTAATAAAAAAAAATATATATATATATTACTTTTCTCAAAATATCCTTTAATCAATTTACTGCTAAGAAAATTAACTTACTGTAAGTATTTACATTATAAAAATTAGGAAGAATGTTACAAAATGCAACATTTATACAATTTAAGCTTTAAGAAAAAAAAAATATATAAATAATAAATTTCCTATTATCTAACATTAATATAATTTACAAAAAAAAAATTATAACAAATAAATATAAATGTGTCGTTAGAAAAATTTTTAATGAAATTTTTTGAATTATTAATTAATGCCAATGTTGTTATCAATGATTTTTTATTGTTTGAAAAAAAAAACAAATTTTCCAAATAAGTTTCTGAAGTTCATTATGCATGGACTACGACAACAGTCTTGTCCCATAGGGACATGATGAGTAAACAATAAGTTCGTGAACTTAAATTTATCTGTTTAACATTTTAGAACAACAGAGTACTCATGCCTCCCATTTCACTTTGCTCTTTAACAAATATTTCAAAATATTGATAAATGATGGTAACTGCCAACAAGATACCAGTTCCTGATCCAATGGCACCCATAAAATCAGCTAGAACAGACAATGCGCCTATACAAAGACCACCAAATGCAGCAGCTGTAGGAATGTATCTATTCAGCTCATGAATCATTGAGTTATCTCTGTGACCACGCATTACCATTTGTTGTTCTTTGAGTTGTTTAGCAACCTGTTAATATAATATAAATATAAATAATTACTACACTGAAATAAATTTAATTTTGCTGTACATACATCCTTTGCAGATGAGCCTGAAACATCAATCCATGTTTTAGAAAAGAATGCACATGATCCCAACATAAATACAATATATAAAATAGCATGTATTGGATCTTCAGCAATATGTGATAGATTTTCTGGAGGTGATAAATAATAACAAAGACCACCAATTGGATAAGCTCGGGCTGGTCCACCACCACCAACATCAGCCCACACACCGAGTAAGTTTACTAAAATGTTTCCATGGAATTTAACAGCTAACATCTATAACCCAAAAAATTAATAAAATCTAAGATAAAATTAAAATTGTATTTTAAAAATCTTTCATAATGTACCTGAGATATAACATATAAGTTGGATACTAATGCTGATTGCAAAATGATAGGTATATTAGATGTATAAAACAATTTGATAGGATAACTGCTGTATTGACCACGATATCTTGCTGATTTGATTGGAAGATCAACTCGGAAACCCTAATAAATTGTTGATATTTTTTGTTTAATAATTTAATAATAAAATAATTGAAAATTCTTACTTGGAAATAGATTACAATGGCAAAGACTAAGACAGTTGCTAATAAATTCATCAAATTTGGTAAGTTTTGTCGGTAAAATGCTTCTCTTAAAGCTCTAACTTTATCTTGTCTAGTGGCCAAAAGATGAAATAATGCAATAACAGCACCTTCAAATTCAGTTCCTCGTCCTAGAAAACAATTTACATAAATTCATTTTTTTGTATAAAAATAATTGTATTTGAAAAATAAAAATTTGTATCCATTAATTGTCAAAAATTACTTATGAAGAGAATTTTACTAAGCAACTTACCAGTGTTTACTGTGGTAGGGCTGAATGCCTTCCAAACAATTGTTTCACAAATGTTAGTAGCAATGAAAAGTGATATTCCTGAACCAAGTCCATAACCTTTTTGCAATAATTCGTCCAATAACAATACAATAAGACCAGCAACAAATAATTGAATAATGATTAATAAACAAACACCAGCTCCAATTTCACTAGGATCACCATACATTCCAGTCATAACGTAAACAATAGCTTGACCAACAGTAATGACCATTCCAAATACTAAAAATAATCAGTTAATTAATAAAAAATAAAATAGCATAAATATAGATATAAAAATACATTTTTGAGCGCCATTGAATAATGCTCTATCTTTAGGTGTATCTCCAACTTCAATAATCTTAGCTCCAGCCAACAATTGCATGATTAAGCCCGATGTAACAATAGGAGATATTCCAAGTTCCATAAGAGTACCACGGTTAGAGGCTAAAATAACACGAATCCAATAGAAAGGATCTGCTGAGTCTGAACTCATAATACCAAAAAGAGGTATCTAAAAATATATATATTTTTTTTAACAATTTTTCATTATTATGAGTGCAAAATATTATTACTTACTTGACAGCATACTAGAAAAATGAATAAAGTAATAGCAGTCCATAATACTTTTTCTCTAAATTGAATCTAAAACAAAATATTTTTAATTAATTTTAAGTTTTAAATGTAATATAAACTATGTAATTATCTTCAAAAAATTGTATTGAATAATTATTGATTTAAATTTTAACTATAAATTATATATTAAGTCTATTACATTATGATTAAATACTCTTGCTATGAATTTTTATATAAAAATATGAAAAAATGTTTAATAAAGTTACCAAACAGTAAATGAAAATATTGTTATATTATTTAAAGTTTTACTTTATATGGTGTGATTAATTTATAATTAACTACTAATTTCTGCTAAAATAATAGTTATCTTTAAAATATTATTTGACTTTTTTTAGTAGTATTTATCTCTAGATTTATAAGTGGTCAAATACTTTTTATATCTGTACCTTATTCCTTATAATGTTACTAACTTTATTTTTTTAAATGGCAACATACATAATTAACTTATAAGCTAAAAAATGATCTAATTAAGAAAATGAATAATAGATAATAACTTCCTGACCTGTACATCAAAAGTTATTAACTAACTTAATACCTATGTGGGAGGCTAAGCGTGACGCAGAAATATCCTATGATAAAAAATAGTCGTACCAGAACTTCAACACTATTCTAAATTTTAAAACACTAATTTCTTCTGAAGTGGTTAACCAAAAGTGGTTATAAATCAGTAATTTCCTTAATTATATAATTTTCTATTTTATACGCTAGTTAAATATATGTTACCATTCAAATGAAAAAAATTGGAACCCTTACAATAGATAATGGACAGACCATGTTCAATCACTTATAAATCAAGAGATAATATTACTAAAAAAAGTACCAAAAGAAGTATTTTAAAGACATTATTTTAGAAATAATTTAGTGGTCAATCATCCTGTATATATTATCAAGTAACATAGAAACCAAGTATACATACAAGGGTCAATCATATCAGATTATGAGGCTACTATAGGTCACAAGTTGATTGTTTTTCAAGTTTATATACCTATGAAGCATCTCATTGTGATTAAAATAAAGGATTTAGTAGATATGTCAAATGAAAAATGCCATCAATTATTAATTTCTATTGAGAATTTCTTAAACCATTAATTCCTATTCTAATAAATATAAAATCATAAGCTCATTCATTTACTTAAATGTCTTTTATATCAGTATCCACTGGAAACTCATGAGAAATAATTAACAGGGTGCAATGACTAGAAAACTTTCTACTTAAAACTTTCTATCAAAGAGGATGAAATTTTGACAGGCTAGACAGATACTCATATCAAAAAGATTTAACAAAATTGATCATAGCATTAGAAAATTCTAACAGAAATTTGAAAATGTTTATATTTATTATTGTATGGGACTCTGCTACCTCTCTGAACATTTTTTAAATGTCAAGTCTTTTAAGAAATTGTCTACAAGTTAAGGACTAAATATGTTTATGCTTGATTAAATAAAATAGTTCTTCAATTAACTGGAAACATTTTTATTGTGTATGACTGCATACTTATTAAAAATTGAGTGAATGGTTCATGACTTGGCAGACATTGATACTGTGATGACATTTTACATTTGACAGATCTACTAAGCAATCAACAATTAAATTAGTTTCCAAAATAAATTACATTCTGAAAAGTTATATGTGACAATACTAACTATATAGTAGTATAATAATTATTGTAAAAAAAAAAAACTCAAAAAATAATTAAATAAATAATTTAAGTCAAGAAACGAGTTCTGGGTTAAGGATTTAAGGGATGTATTAGATATTTTGTAAATAATTAATATTAGGAAAATAGATAAAATTTTTTATTTTATATCTAGCCTAAAATTAAGTTAAAACACTATTGCCTTCGTAAGTCAATTTCAAAATACTACAAAACCTAAATGACTATCAAAAAAAGATCAGCTTCAGTGTCTTGTTAAGTCAAAAGCCCCTTATTAAAAAAATTTGAAGAATTTGCTACAAATATTCATGAGTTGAAAAAAACTTTAGTTACCTTATATCACAACTTGGTTCATAATAGTAAATATTTAAGTTTTTCATATTGATATATTTATATATATTTAATACCTATTATTTGTGTATACTTAAGTATATACTAATAACATAATAAAAAGAAAAGGCGAGTAAAATCTCGTAATACCAATTAACAAAAGAAGAATTTATTGAGAAAAAAAAAGAAATTGATTAAAAATAATTTTTCACTGGTAAAGAAAAATCTAGTAAAAAAAAATTCATTGATGAGACAAGTTGACTTTCTAATTAGATTATTTTTATGAATGACAATTATAAAACAGACTAATAATTAATGCATTAGCATTCAATTACTTACTTTTCTTTCAGGTTTGGCTATTTCTGGTAGAATACTACAGAAAGGCTTGATTACTTCTAAAAATTTAACTGAAAAAATAATAAACATATAAATTAAATTATTACTTCAATAATAGAATGGAATTTTAATTTTATATATTATAATTTATAGTATTTTAAAATACCAAATTATTTATTATTTTATTAATAAACTGTTATTAAAACATCATGTGACTAATGAAAGTCTATTCGAATTACATCAACAATTAGGTAGGGAAATTTATTAAATTTTATAATTTAAATTTAAATATTTTTATGAAAAAAGTTTTCATTAATATGTCTACTTGTAAGAGTGTATAGATATGTTTGAAAACTTTAAATTAAGCATTTAGTAGGAAAATTGCAATAAATTTACATTCACACAAAAACTATAAATTCTGCTATTTATAATACATCAATCAAAAATAAGCAGATTAAAACATTAATATTAAAGAATACAGTTTTTCATTTTTTATTTAAACCACGTCAAGAAATAACGGTACAAGAATAAAACTATGACCCACTTAATATCATACAAAAATTCAGTAACTTAAAAAAAAAGAAAAGTTAAACATTTTTATTAATGTTTAAGTGTAAAAAGAAGCCACGACTACAATTCTTGAACAAAAAATTAATTATCTCACTCATATAAAAATACACTTTTCCTAAAGAAAAATAATTTGAATTTAAAATACCAAATTTTAAAATATAAAATTACAACAAAATATTAAATAGTTAATTATACTTACAACCCATAATGATGCGTTCGTTATTACAGTCTTTTTGCTTTAATGTAGTTGCATTAGAAAAAAATACAGAGGTACTTTACGTAAAGAACCTTACGAAATGAATAACAAAATTTATGTGGACACGACAGTAACGTACACAATTTTCACTTCTGTCGAACTCAACCACGTAGCGGCTTGTATAACTTCAACACGAACACACATGCAACGATTTTTGTCGATGAGTCGGCGACACGTCGTATGGTATACGTACGTCAAGGAGAATAGTACTAATTCCAAGGAGAAAATAGAATTTATTTTTTTTATAATTATCTCAATAATAATACTGATAATAATCAAAAATACTTAATCAAACACAGTTAGCAACAGAATTATTATAAAAAAATAAAGATTTTATTTAAAAATACACCATGATAAAAATCATAGTAATATTACCCCATAATAAACATGGTGGAAGTGAAAATGATAATTAAACACTGCTAGACAAATAAAATCAAAAAATAATTATAATAGGGTGCCACCATAAAATCCTTATTTAAGTTTAAAATGGACTATAAACCTTTCCAATATTTATAAATATATATTAAAATTTCGGTTTTGCTTAATTTTTTTTCAAATTTTCATCACGCCTTAACCATAAATTAAATTTAATGATTCAATAATAAATTTAAATGAAATTTTATAACAAGGAAAAAATAAACAAGTTCTAACATTTAAAACCTATCTTTTAATCATAGCTTAAATCCTTTATCTTTAAATAATTCTATCTAAAACTATTTTTAAATTAAAAAAAGTGTTAAATCAAATTTAACTACATTACCTATTAATTAATTGAAAATATATTTTTTCGTTTACTTTTTACTATAAGGTAAATGTAATTATGTAATGGGATAATTATAAATTCATGGAATATTTAACAGGTTTTATTTTAGATAAAAAAAATCCTTATAGTGTTGCTATCATATTAAATATAAGCTTGAAATAAAAACCTATCAATTTATCAAAAAAATGCATTTACAATTACCCCCTCCATCACCCATTAATAAACTTAATGTAAAAAAAATACGCTAGTTAAAAAGAAACTGCACATATAATTCTAAATTGAACATTAACAAAGAATTTGTTTTTATTAACTATTAATAATTTTTGAATTGGATGAACTACATTTAATAGTATTTGAAGGAAATGAGCCAATTTTACTTGCTACTTCACTCCAAGTTTTTTCAGCAATAGAACTTGCTTTATATCTTCCTTCTTCAAGAGTTTTAAATAAATAATCTGGTGATGCCATCAGTTTGAAAATTTCTTGACGTATAGGAGAAAATTTTTCTATTAATATTTCAGACACTACTTGTTTATAGCTTTAAATAAAATTAAAACTTAAATGTAAAAATTTTTGATTAATAAATGTATAATTTACTAAAGTATAATAAATGTACCGGCCAGTGTCCAAAAACGAATTTTCTTCACAAATTTTTTCAGGTAATGATCCAGTTACAAAAGAATGCATAGCTACAAGAGCAGAAACTCCAGGTCTATTTTCTGGATCATATGTAACCTCTGATATACAATCAGTAACAGCTTTTTTTATTTTTTCTGCAATTACATCAGAAGAATCAGTGATTTCTATACGACCTCTTTGATCAGGATGAGATTTCGACATCTTTTTAGTTGGATCACGGAGATTTCTTATTCTTGAAGAACTGTCTTCTATAAAATGTAGAGATCTTCATTTCACATTCTAGTACAACTTACACAATTTTTTTTTTCAAGTTATAAATTATTTGTAATGTATAAAAAAATTCAATACACTATACTTTGAACAAGAATTTCGGGGATGGGAAAAGTTACTCCATATCGTGTATTAAAGGAACGAGCTAAAGCATGAGCTAATTGTAAATGTTGGACTTGATCTTCGCCAACAGGAACTTTAGTAGCTCTAAAAAAAATTAATTAATTTTCACAAATTATTAGTTTAAGAACATTATACAATACTTGTATAGTAAAATATCTGCAGCTTGTAAAACAGGATACAAATATAAACCAAGTGGTACATCTTTTAACATAGAAGATTTCTCTTTAAATTGAGGTAGCTGACCCAATCTTGGCATAGTAGTTAAACATCCTAAAACCCAACTTAACAGTGTATGTTCAGAGATCTGTTATTATAAAAAATAAAAATTATAGAATAAAAATTTTTGTTGAAATTTAAAGAACATTAAAACTTACTTGAGATTGCAAAAATAATACACTTTTATTAGGATTTATACCACTTGCTAATAAACTAGCAGTCATAAGAAGAATATTATTTTGTAACTTATTTGTGTCCTAAATTGAATTTTAATTAATACAACAAAACTCATAATTTATATTTAAAAAATACAACTTACATAAGGCAATGTGATCGAGTGTAAATCAACAATACTAAGTAAAACTTCTTTGTTTTCATTTTGTAATTGAACCCACTTAGAAACAGCTCCAAAATAGTTACCTAAATGCAATGTGCCAGTTGGTTGAATCCCTGAAAATACTCGATCATGCCAACTAACCTAGTGAATAAATCTTTATTTCAAAATATCTTACATTTTTTGTTTAATTTAAACAATTTAAAACTCACTTTAGAATGACAGAATCTAAATAACTTGGATACATACATCAATTTTAGCGATGTCCCAATATTTATAACTTTTAATTTAGCTCTTTGCATTCTACTATCGATTTCAGTTTACTTTAAAACGTTTCAAAATTTAAAGACCATTTAATTCACCACTTTATTTAAGATTATCAATGAAAAATGTAATTATTATGAGATTTCTATAGATAACACATTTTGACACAATAAGATTATTTTGGATTTACCCATAGAGTATTACTTTATGGATATACCGGCATTATTACTTTGTTATCATTCTTTGATATTAGTTCACGTGTGTTGGTAACTCTACTTTTTATTCCATATAAAATATAAACTATTATCAGCATATAATTGAAGATTGGCGATTACCAACTGCAAACATTAGCCGACAACAAACGTTCAACATAAACACATTTTATGTATATGTATAATTATATTTGAGTTTTTATTTTCATAACAAAATACTACTGATAGTTGATAGATACACTAAAAATTAGACGCTTCAATTTGATAGCCGCGTATTTCATATTCACACGCGCCTTTTTTATGCTTCTAGTAAATTGTGTGATTATCAAAAATTTTTGACAAATAAAACGCTTTTATTAAGGTTTATTGTCCAGTTTAAACTAAATAATTATTATTGAATTTGGTAAGCCAATCTTTTTAATATTTGAGAGATAATATAATTTTAGAAAAATTATGTCTGTGGAAAAAGATATAATAAAAATACAACATAAATTACAAAATATGTCGGATGAGAACGCTGATCAAAGTCAAGCCCTAGATTTATTAAAAGCTCTTAAAGATTTGCCTATAACTTTAGATATACTTACAAAAACTCGAGTTGGTATGACAGTTAATTCATTTCGAAAAAGTTGTAATAATGAAGAAGTAATTACATTCTCCAAAGCATTAATTAAAAACTGGAAAAAATTATTAAATGGAGATAAAAGTACTACTCAGGAAACTAAAAAAGAAAAGAAAGAACGAAAAAAATCAGAAGAAAAAGAACAAAAAATTGAAACAAAGAAAGACACTTCAAAACCAGTTATTTTTCCTACCCCATCTACCACAGATGCTGTTCGTCTTAAATGTCGAGAACTTTTAGTTTCTGCTTTAAAAACTGATGATGAAAATGAAGGTTGTGCGTCAATAGAAGAACTTGCAGATGAACTAGAAGATGCTATTTTTTTAGAATTTAAAAATACTGATGCTCGTTATAAAAACAGAGTTAGGAGTAGGTACTCTAACTTAAAAGATGCTAAGAATCCTCAATTGAGGAGTAACTTTATTGCTGGAGCTATCACTCCTGCCCAATTAGCAAAGATGACTGCTGAAGAAATGGCTAGTGATGAAATGAAAACATTAAGAAACAAACTTATTAAAGAATCGATTGATGATGCTCAACTTGCTACTGTTCAAGGAACAAAAACAGACTTACTAAAATGTGGAAAATGTAAAAAAAGGAATTGTACCTACAACCAAATTCAAACTAGAAGTGCTGATGAACCAATGACAACATTTGTAATGTGTAATGAATGTGGAAACCGATGGAAATTTTGTTAAATTTTACAATTGGCGTTATTTAAATTTTCTTTTTAGAAGCACTTAAGTATAAGAATATAAAATGATATCCCTTTTCTTCATACTATTTCCTATAATGATTATTGGTATTTGACCAAATTTTAATATTCATTTTATTATATTGATTTAATTTTTAGTTAAGAACTTGTAACTTGCATTATTGTGGGAATAATTGGTTTAATGTAAATAGTATGTTCAGCCTAAAACATAATTTAATTTACTAGAAATAAATTTCTATAATTGATTATATTAAATTTTATTATTTTGAAATATTTTTTGTCAATTGCTGAGGTAGATATATTTAATCATATTACTTAGAAAAAAATCAATTTAGCATTAAAATATAATAATTATAGCCCCTAATATGATCAATTTATTTTTAAGGAAGTTTTAAGCAAAAAATGATCATTGAAATCTCTGGCTATAGTAAAAATTAGTGTCTACTACTCTAGAAGTTTTATTTACACCCCTGATCAGGTAAATTTATTATGATCTTAGTTCAATTTTCTTCTAATAGATTACACATTTTTAAGACATAAAGGACACAAAGTCCTTTTTATTAGTATTCAAATTTAACAAATTATTCTTTATTTTACATAATATATAAATAACCAAATTCGAACAGCAATATATTAAAAGCAAACTTACATACGCAAATCAGTGTAATATCAGATGTTAAATTGCTTACTTTTTATGAATAAAATCAAAATGTCATAAATTTACTTGTGCCATTTTCATAAAAATAAAAACATTATTTATTCTCAATAAATAATCTATTAGTTTATAAGAACTGTAATGATGAAAAATGTTGACACAAAAACCTAGATTAAGTTTTTATTAAAGAGTGTTATAACATATAAGATGTATAGGTTTCATTTATATTTAACAAATAAGGTTTTACCTTTTTTTAACACTGGCATGGATCATAGAATTTAAAAATGAAACTACAGATGTAGACTAGGACAGCAACACGAGGGACAATATAATTATAGAACCTTCAATTCTTAAACAAGTTATACAACCTTATTTCTTCTTGTTGTGGGTAAATAAAATTACTTTTAGATCATCTCAATAATTCCTTTGACGGTTAGCCTATTTGTATATTTAAAAAGTGACATTTTTGATGATTTCATGAAACAATATTTTAATTAAACATAACATATTCCATTTATCTATATTTACTAATTATGCATTTTTGAGTATTATTAAATTGTGTTATTTCTGTTTTATCAAAAATAATGTAGTAAAATAAAGTGTTTAATCCTTCATAAAACCATGTTTCAAAACAAATACAAACATATATTTTTTTCTATAAATAGAGCCTCGACAAAACAAATATTTTATGATTATTTAATATAACAAATAATTTTAAAATACATCACATACAAATACTAATGATTAAATAATCACAAAATTGTATTTTTGAAATTTATAAAATGAAACTAAAACTAAATATTTAAAATGAATGTTTTATATATTAAGAATTTATTCAAAATATACTTTATCACTTACAGTGTATACATTTTTTATTTAATCTTTTAAAATTTTGAAACTCATTTTGATTATCTACAATTGATTCTAAAAAATATTTAAATTTTGTTTTAGTGTTATGTTCATCTTTTTTAACAGTATCAAATCAAAATATTTCTATTATTTAAATTACTATCCTTATTTAAGCTTATTGTACAAAAAATTTTATAGACTCTTAATATTAAGTAAAAAAAAAACTACTTATGAAAAGATTGTTAATGGCACAAAACAATCTTGTTTACAATTTTTATAAAATGGTTTATAAGTACATGTGATGTATAGATCAAATGTTTAATATGAGGCATTATTAAATAATGCCTTAAACAAAGTTTCTTAATGTGAAGTTTTCAAATTAATTATGGCATATTAAAAAATTATGGCATAATAAATTTAGAATTTGAATAAAACATTTTATATGTATACAGAGTTATTTACTTACTATGAACCACTTAATTAAATGAAAAATAAATATAATATGAAAAATGTTATTATTGATTTCTTTTAGTTCAATGTTTTTTAATTTTTCAATCATAATATTTTTATTATATTCATCTATTATATCTTATAAGGGTTTTAATTTTAATTTTTCAAACAGCAATGTATACATAATTAACTAATTTATTGAATAATAATGTAATTAAGAAAATGGCTAGCCAATAACAACTTTTGGACCAATTTTTTGGAAGTTATTAACAATTTAAAATAAAGATTGGAGATGAAGAGTGGATGAGGCAATTTTTACAAATAAACATTTACCAGCAGTACTTTTCTCTCACCTATATATAAATATGTCAATAATTTCCGAAATACTAGTCCTTAAGTTGTTATCAACCAGTCATTTTCTTAATTAACTCATTATCTAAAAAATAAGTTAGTTAATTATGTATGTCATCATTTGAAAAATTAATGTTAATACCCTTATAATATATAAGGGATGAACATAAAAAAACTTGATTTTTGAACAAATTAACTAAAAGAAAACCATAAATTATAATTTATGGCACACAAAAAAATAAAAAAATTTGTCTGTACTTTTGACCGGACCCATCTGTGGACATGTATTTTGACCCGCTGGATACGAATTTGAAGTGTGTTTGGCACGGTCACCCTCCAGATTTGAGGAAAATACAAAAAAGTAAAAAATTTGCAAAAAACTGCAGTCACAGCGATGAAAATATTTTTGTGGACCCGGATCAAGAATGATTTTTATGTATGTCAATTTACAGAATCTGAATCTGAACTTTAATTAGCAAGTTCAATCGTCAAAATTTGCGAAAAAACCAAAAAATTGCAATTAATCATAAAAAATCGAAAAAGATAAAATAAATTTTTTGGATTCAGATTGAATATGTTTTTTATGTATTTTGTTCCACTGAATTTGAATCTGATGTTTTCTTAACCCATTAACGTTATAAAATTTTAAAAAAATCGGGAAAATTGCAGTTATAAATATAAGAAAAAATCTATTAAATACGATTGTTAATGACTAGACAAAGCAGTGAAAGAAGGCCCATAGGGGTCATCATCAAGCGACTGCAGCTCTTCAGTAGTGGCTACTAGAGAATATACCATTACAAGAAGAAATTCCCATCTTTGTAATAAAAGTCCTGATTCATTTTGTTACGTTTGTGGCGAGTTTCTCACAAGACAAGGCCTACTTTGTCACCCTGATCAGATACTGATATTGGGTTTCCGGTTCCCTGCATCGTAAACTACTTATCACTTATACCTGCCATGACGGCACACCGCCGTTAACCCAGCATATTTCAGGATACAAATTTTATAAGAAAAATGAACAAGACGAAGAGAGATTCAAATTCAGTGCATCAAAATCATACTCATCTGAATCCAAAAAATTTTTTTTGTCTTTTTCGATTTTTCATGATTTATTGCTATTATTTGGTTTTTTTGTAAATTTTGACGACAACGTGCTAATTAAAGTTCAGATTCAGATTCTGTAAATTGACATACATAAAAATCATTCTTGATCCGGGTCCACAAAAATATTTTCATCGCTGTGACTGCAGTTTTTTGCAAATTTTTTACTTTTTTGTATTTTCCTCAAATCTGGAGGGTGACCAGGCCAAACAGACTTCAAATTCGGATTCAGCGAATCAAAATACCGTAGGTGGGTCCGGTCAAAAGTAAAGACGACTTTTTTTTGTGTGCCGGTGTTATTAATATTATTTTTATTTTACAAAATAAATTTTGAAGTAAATTTTAAATTGTAAAATTTATATATTCCTTAGTAACCAATAGTTATTGATTCATTATATTAATAGAGTTTTTAACTATTTGCTTAGCTTGTTTCAAAAATTAATAAGTAATGTTCTTTTGTCTTAAAAAACATTTGACATTATTTACAAATTAACAGTTTTTAATAAATAATCAATACTTTAAATTCTTCGTACTAAATATTAATTATTGAAAATAAAATATTAATGTATAAAAATTAAATTTACTAAATAAAAAACATATTACTTATTTTTTATCTTTTTAATATAATATAAAAATATAGTTATAACACACATAAAGTACTTTCAAAATATAAAAAAGTGTATTTGATATTGATGAGAAAATAATTTTTGAAATTGGTATCACAAAATAATTATACATCAACTGCTAAAATAACTTACTTTAACAATAGTCATTAAATTTTTGAAGAAATTTTAAGTTCTTCTACACCAATTTGACCTCGATGTCTCCATTCTCTATAACGAGTTAAATCTTTACGAGTTACCACACCAACAACCTAAAAAAAATTTCATGTCTTAATATTTCCATCTGACAAAATAATTAGTAATTACCTCATTTGAGTCATTGACAACTACAATATGTCTTAATCCCATAGCTCTAAATAGACGGAATATCCTCGGTAATGATGCCATCTAAATGAATAAATTATTTGTATCATTTTAAATAATAAAACTTAATTAAATAGTCAGATTTTTAAAATATTAAAATAAAAATAAATTAATTTTGAACTCAATAAAAATAATTCAATCCTTTCTCTGCATTGCTATAAAAATTAAATTATGATGAGTAAATTCTTAAATGTGTTTAGATCTATTTATGAGGCAAAGATAAAATTAAAATTAACTTGTTGAGATATTTTTAAGGGTTTAATATTAAATCAAAAACTTTGTTCAATGCTTTGGTTTATAATTGAACCAACTTTTTTAATTGACAAGTAACCCACTATAAACCAAAGGTTAATATCAATGGTTTATTATTTCAAAATATAAGTGTATTGTAAGTTATCAAAGGATAAAAATAATAGTTAACTTATTAAAATGTCTTTTTATGGAAAGAGCTGTTACCAAATTACCTGAGTTTAAAATAAATGATTTTTTCTCAAATTAAATTAAATAGTAATTAATATTTTATTAAGGTATGCAAAAAACATTATATACTTACATGTTGTACCACATAAGGGGATGGATTCATAAACCTTAGCAGATCGACTGTATAGTTTCGCTCACTATCTAATATTTCAACACTCTAAACAAATTTTTATAATCAATAATCATTTTCTACAAAATTATTTCCACAAGGTTTTATAATGATTTTTATCAATATTAGCACAGAATTAGTGTTCAAACTAAGTATTGATAGCTACAATGAAAAATTAAATATTTGTTTGTATATATAACCATTTACGCTTACTTCAATATCTGAATATCGAGGATAATCTTGTCTAAATGTAGTTAAAGTAACATCATCCCAAGCAGCAGGTACTTCATTGAATACTTTGTTTTTTAATAGAACAATGAGCTGAGATCGAAGTATAAGACCACGTAATCGTCCATTTGGTTTATAATTACCTTCTTCCTAAAACCAAAATTTTAATGAGAGATAATAATATTTAAATCAAACTACATGATATATCTCACTGTTTCGCTAGCATAAACATCATCAACAACTGGAAATCCATTATAGGTATACTTTTTAAGTGTATCAACAATCTTTCCAACCGTTTCTTTACTTTTAAAAACAGTTGCAGGATGGGACATAACTTCACTTGCATATATATTTGAAGATAATGAAGGTGGGTCCCAAGCCATTAGTGGTATACCACTTAGTTGAATGTGAACGTCATAAATACTCTAAGATATATTTTTTTAAGAATCACTTGAATTTATACTGAGTGTTTAATAAGTAAGGAAACAGATCATTTTTATGAACAATGGGAAAAAATGAAACCCTTGTCCTCACTTATTGAACACCAAATGTACATAAATACAAGGTAATTGAATATCTATAACTTATGCAAAATCTTCAAAAATATAAAATAAAACTTTTTTTTTTCTTTTTATAAATTTATTTAACAATACATACTTTAAATTTTTAAAAATAATTTATCCATCCATACTCTTTCTCCTTAATCTGATATCTTAATACATCTATTTATACTTTTTGTTTAATGACCTTAGAGAGACACAATTTTTATGTATAATAGGTATATTCTAAAGCAAATAAATTTTTTATTTTTGGTTGAAATAGACCCCACTGAACACAATCCCTTCATAATTATAGCCCCTGTAACTGATTTTCCTTAGATTTCAAATAAATTAATCAAAATATACTGAGTGGTAATGTATTCAAAATAACTAAATAAAATGAATAAATGCAAATAATCCCAACTCTATTATTGATATCAAGTACCAATAATAATATCCAAATCAAGTTTTTTAATGACATACATATTTAACTAGATTAAATATTAAAAAATAACTCATTAAAGAAATTACTGGTTGACAACTTTTGAATCATTATTTTAGAAAGTAATAATGTTTAATATTATTATATAAAATCATTAACTTATATACAGGTGTGTTATTTCATTTTTTTTTTTTTTATCCACATAGATATTGTAGAAACTACTAAGTGAAGCAGTAAGAAGTGGAGGGATTTCTTATCTCTTATTTGGATGTTTAGAGACTGAGACTAGATAGGCATAATTTATAATATAGAATTTTAGGCATACAAATGGATACTATGCAATTTACAAGTGACACCCCTAAATATATCATTATATAATTTAAACTATGTAGAGTTTGATAAAATTATAAAAAAGAAATGATACGTTATTAGATATTTTCAAAAATACCTTATAAAGTATATCTTCAAACGAAGATACTATAAATCATCATAAATGAAATTGTTTATTAATCTTCCTATGTATATTTACATATATATGGGGTAATCAGTTTATCATAAACTTCCCGATTACTCTTAAAATAAATACAATATAAAAAAAAAATTTACATTATTCTAGTTACATATATTTCTCGATTTATCAGCTAATAATTATTTTTTAGAATCATAACTTATAACTTATAAGGATGTCAAATAGCAACCTACATAATTAACTAGTTAAATAATGATTTAATTAAGAAAATGGCTGGTTGATAACAATTTTTAGACCAGTATTTCAGAAGTTATTAGCAATCTAAAGTTAAGACTGAAGGTGATAAGTGAGTGCAACTATTTTTATCACTAGTCATTTCCCAGCCGTACACTTCCTCTTGCCTAAGTAAAAATGAGAATAACTTCTGATGTACTGGTCCATAAGTTATTATTGACCCGTCATTAAATTATTTTCAATTTTATTTACTAGTTAATTATGTACATTACTATTTGAAAAAATTAAGTTGACATCCCTCCAGTAGTAATTTAGAGCTGATTAAACCAAGTAATATATGTATTTAAAAAAAATCAATCATTTATTTTCCAATATTGCATTTATTTTGTGACTAATCAAGTGGTTTATGACAAACCGATCTTTCTGTGAAACTAACTGAAAAAGATTTTAAAATTAATTTAAGGTATTTTTGTAAAAACTATAACAACTAAACTATTATAACTTACCTCAGTAAAATAGTCACCAATCCATTTTGCTGTTAGCAAAGTTATCATAAGTGGTAAACCAAATGTTATATCACCAGTTGCTTCAATCAATATAATAGTGAGACTAATTGTCATACGTACAACACCTCCAAGTTGTGATGCAGCTCCAATTAATGCATACCTTCCAACATCCTAATTTTAAATGTACAATAATTTAATTGTGTATAACCATTACATTATTTTAATTTTAAATAAAATTAATAATTTAAATAAAACACACCGTGGCAGGAAACAAATTTTGAACACTATTTCCTATCAGTCGACCCCATGCTGCACCTGTTACTAAACAAGGTATAAATATACCTGCACTAACACTGAGTCCATAAGTCCAAACTGTTAACGAATAATAAGCAATGGCAAACAATGCCAAAGTAGAAGAATCAAATGATCCTAAAAATATAATTGAAAAATAATTACAAAATAATTAATTTAAAAATATTTTTACCTGTTGGATCATGAAAGAAGGATCTTACAGAAGCCTCTGGAACTTGAAACCACAGTGATGCCATTGAATTGTATTCTCCATCATTACAGTTCAGCTAATTTTCAGATAGTAAATATTATTATTAAATTATTTAGTATAACAAAATAATGAATTTAATACAATTAAAATTTAAAATGTTGGCTAATATATATATACCTGTAAAGGGTCTTTCGTGGGATCTAAACCAAGTGGTTTACAACTGTTTTGCCACAAAGATAGCAAAAATCCAACAGTTGCAGTAAATGAACATACAAAAATAGCTTCTAATACTTTCTTCCATGGATTTACCAAATATCTGAATAATTAAAAATTAAAAGTAAAATTATTATATTTTCAAACTATTTGATATGTTAAAGAATAACTAATAAAAATCAAATTTTATAATTTCATTTTAATCTCATACAAAACATGTAATATTAATAACTAGTTCATAAAAAAAAATTATACTAGATTATATTTAGACATTCATTACTTACATTTATTTAAAAAGTAAAATAAATAATTTAATGCTTAAAAAAATATCTGATTCTTAATAAGAGCAAACTTATATTATCAAAGATTTACCTCATTCTAAAAACAGTTAGTTTATAATTTAAATGACAAAATAATGCTCCTAATAGTCCACCAATAATACCCATACAAACAAAAATTGGCAATTCATACATAGTATAAGATAGTGCAAAATCAACAAATTTACCAAAATTCAATAACCCCCAAAAGGTTAATTCACCTGTAAATAATAATTTAAATTAAATATTTTAAATAAAAAAATTTAATTATAAAAAAAAAAGATACCACATTAAAAAAATATTGTACCTGGATGTCCATGGTATGCACTTAAAACTGAGTTTAAAGTAAATGTTGATATCATAGATGCAAAAAAAATTCTCCAGGTGAGTCCTTGATTCCAAAAGCTAGCACCTTCTTCTAAACTGAATAATACTCCCCCTATAATACAAATTCACTTATTATTCATAAAGTAGTAGTATTTTTAACACTTAGTAAAAATTTTGTACAAAAAATATCATATCAAAACTGTTAAAGTTAAAAAAAATTTATACTTTTGTGGCGGTCGAATATTCTAGAATGTCCGGCCGCCGCCGCCTCTAGAAGATTCGTCGCTCTACATAAGCGTGTGGCGGTCGAATGTCTAGAGAGTTCCGACGCCGCCTCTAGAAGATTCCTCTGACTATTTAAGGGCAAGATCGTCGCTCCAGTCAGTCAGTCGATCAGTCAATCACTTACGCATTCTGTCTTACACGCGCTTCGTTTCTCGCTGTTATTTATTAGTTCGTTGTAATACAGTTCGTCTCTCGCTGTTATTTGTTATTTGTTAGTTCGTTGTAATATAGTATAGTTGTTATTAAATCGTAAAAGTGTTTATTACTTCTATATATTACACCTCGCTACATTGGTGACCTCGACGTGATCAAGTATGAACGCCGAAGAACTACGCAATCAATTGGAGGAGTTACGCCAAGAAAACGCTCGCCTTGCAGCACTACAGGCACAGCAATATCCAACAGCTTCAGTGAATCGCGTTGCCGTCAAGTTGCCACCTTTCTGGTCCGAAAGACCGAGCTTATGGTTCTCACAGGTTGACTCGCAGTTTGCAATCTCGGGAATAACAAGTGAGGAAACAAAATTTAATTATGTTGTGGCTCAGCTTGATACGCGTTACGCCGCCGAAGTAGAGGATATTATTACTAACCCACCGCCTACTGAACGCTACAAACATCTACGCGCAAAACTCGTTGAACGGTTGTCTATCTCAGAAGAACAACGTGTGCGGCAACTCATCAATGAAGAAGAACTAGGTGACCGTAAGCCATCACAGTTCTTACGACATCTCCGTTCCCTTGCCGGCACTACTACATTACAAGACAATATTTTACGTCAACTTTGGCTCCGCCGTCTACCATCACATGCACAAGCTATTTTAACCGCACAATCAGAGCTTCCTCTGGATAAGGTAGCCGAGCTGGCTGACAAAATTGTTGAAGTGCAGCCAGCCCCCTCGCAATTCGTCCATGCTGTTGCCACGACGAACAATAAAAAGGAACTCGATGTTTTAGCTGCCATTGAAGCACTCGCAAAACAGGTAAGCGAATTATGTGCTAAACGCCCGCAACGTTCCCGCTCTAGGTCACGTAACCGTTCAAACGTGGAACTGACTAACGGCAAAGGATGGTGTTGGTATCATAGCACTTATGGAGAAAAGGCTGCCAAATGTAAGGCTCCCTGCAAGTATCAGGAAAACTCCAACGACAGTCAGTAGCGGCGGCAACAGACTGTCCGAACCCGAGCAGCCGCCTGTTTGTTACAGATCAAATAACAAAACGCCAATTATTAGTCGACTCCGGTTCCGACTTATCTTGTTACCCTCAACGGCTACTACGGGAACGACGCCATGCCACCGATTACGACCTCAGCGCGGCCAACAACAGTACCATAAAAACTTACGGGACGGTCCATCTCAATTTGAATTTAGGACTTCGACGCAGTTTCCCGTGGAGTTTTATTGTCGCCGACGTGAGTACTCCTATCATTGGTTCCGACTTCATGGCATACTACCACTTGCTGCCGGATTGCCGTACCAAACGTCTTATTGATGGTGTCACAGGCTTGGCTGTGAATGGTAAGGTTTCCTCTGTAAATCAATGCAGCATAAAATCAGTTGCCAACACTTCCCCTTGGGCTGCACTTCTCGCAGAATTTCCGGACATCACACGTCCCACCGGATTGCCCAGGACAATAAAACATCAAACAGTGCACCACATTCTTACGACACCTGGTCAGCCAATAGCCTGCCGCCCACGCCGCTTAGCTCCAGGTAGACTAAAAATCGCCAAACAGGAATTCGCGGAAATGGTCAAGGCAGGTACCGCTAGACCTTCAAGCAGTCCGTGGTCTTCACCATTACATTTAGCACCGAAAGGGGAGAACAGCTGGCGTCCTTGCGGTGATTACCGCGCGCTGAACGCCCGAACTATACCAGACTCCTATCCAGTCAGACACATACATGATTTCTCGCACAACCTGGCTAATTGCACGCTATTTTCCACAATCGATCTGGTAAAGGCTTACCATCAAATACCTGTTAATCCGGACGATATATGCAAAACAGCCATTACCACTCCATTCGGACTTTACGAATTTCCTTTTATGACATTCGGATTGCGAAATGCTGGACAAACTTTTCAACGCTTCATAGACGAAGTTACCAATGGGTTGGACTTCTGTTATGCATATATTGATGACATTTTGGTATTCTCTAAATCGGAAGAGGACCACAAACAGCATTTACGCACTCTTTTCGGGAGACTTTCTGACTACGGTGTTGTCGTTAACCCGCAAAAATGTGTATTAGGTTCGGCTGAGGTGAAATTTCTAGGTTACCTAGTATCTTCTGAAGGCACCCGCCCGCCACCGGAACGCGTCGAAGCCCTACGACAGTATCCATTGCCAAAATCTATGCAAGGATTACGCCGGTTTTTGGGAATGGTAAATTTTTATCGCCGGTTTATTCCCAAAGCTGCCGACCTGCAAGCACCACTTCACGGTATTCTCAAAGGCCCGAAGACAAAAGGTTCCCAACCGATAGAATGGACTCCCGAGTTAGAAAAAGCGTTCACCACATGCAAAGAAAGTCTTGCGACCGCTACTCTTTTAGCACATCCTCATCCAGCCGCACGACTTGGACTATTCACAGACGCATCTAGCCAATCTATCGGCGCATGTCTGCAGCAGCGAGTCAATAACATCTGGCAACCCATAGCATTTTTTTCAAAGAAAATGTCGGTGAAACAAAGTGCGTGGCCTGCGTATTATCGTGAGTTGCTTGCCATCTATGAATCGGTGAAGTATTTCAGGCACATTGTCGAAGCACAACCATGTACCATTTTCACCGATCATAAGCCACTCGTATATGCTTTCACCCAACGGAGAGAAAAGATACCTCCTACGCAACTCAACCAGTTGACATTCATATCCGAATTCACCACCGACATTCAACACATTAAAGGTGATGAAAATATCGTCGCGGATACAATGTCACGCATTGAAGTTGTGTCTCTCCCGCTGGACTACCGAGCTCTTGCTGCATCTCAAGACACGGATGATGAACTCAAACATTTTTCTGACAACAATTCATCTCTTCATTTGGAGAAGGTACTAGTGCCAGGATCTTCAATCTATATTTATTGCGACACGTCAACAGGACGCCCACGACCATTTTTGCCACAACGATTCCGGCGTCACGCATTTGATCAGTTACACAACCTTAGTCACCCCGGTGCACGCGCAACAGCTCACTTAGTTTCAGAACGATTTGTGTGGCCAGCAATGAAAAAGGATTGCCGTTCCTGGGCACGTGCCTGCGTCCACTGTCAGCGATCGAAAATAAGCCGACACGTCTCAGCCCCACTGGGAAACTTTGAAACACCTTCACGCCGATTCAAACATGTTCATGTCGATATCATCGGTCCATTGCCGCCATCACAGTCCTTCAGGTACTGTCTGACGGTAATCGATCGTTTCACCCGTTGGCCGGAGGTGTATCCACTCGAACGTATAACAGCAGACGATGTCACTAAGGGTTTCCTCAATTGCTGGATTTCACGCTTCGGAGTACCTCAATACGTTACGACTGACCGTGGTACTCAGTTTGTTTCAGCTACTTTAAAAACTTTAGCAAAACGTTTTGGTTTTACGCTTCGCCCCACTACCAGTTGGCATCCTGCTGCAAACGGATTCGTCGAACGAATGCACCGACAACTAAAGGCAGCCATCATGGCCCACGCAAAAGACTCGTGGACTGAGTCACTGCCTATCGTGCTTCTCGGAATACGTTCTGCGTTTAAGGAAGACTTAAAAGCCACGTCTGCGGAACTTGTTTATGGTGAGCCTCTTAATCTTCCTGGTGATTTCTTCACAGACAAGCAAGATAATAGCAGTACGAACGACCCTACTAGCTTACTAGATCGTCTTCGCAGTGTTATGAATAAAATTCGTCCAGTACCTGCATCTCGCCACTCAAATCCACGATCATTTGTTTTTGCGGACCTTAAGGACTGTTCACACGTATTTCTCAGGGAGGGAGGTGTCCGAGCAGCACTTCAACCGCCATATCAAGGTCCCTTCGAAGTAATTGCCCGAAATGACAAAACGTTCACAATAAAAGTTCGAAATCAATCAGTTACGGTGACGATTGATAGAGTAAAACCTGCCTACCTCATGGTGAACGAAAGCACAACCGTTAGCCAGGCACATGCTCCACCAGCAACTGCCCCGGATACGACCAAACAGAAACAACCGCCTAATACCGATCCATCAACACAGCCAGTACGAACAACTCGCTCAGGCCGCCGAGTCAGATTCCCGGACATTTTTGACCCTAGCTAACTCCACTCCGTAGGGGGGTGGTGTGGCGGTCGAATATTCTAGAATGTCCGGCCGCCGCCGCCTCTAGAAGATTCGTCGCTCTACATAAGCGTGTGGCGGTCGAATGTCTAGAGAGTTCCGACGCCGCCTCTAGAAGATTCCTCTGACTATTTAAGGGCAAGATCGTCGCTCCAGTCAGTCAGTCGATCAGTCAATCACTTACGCATTCTGTCTTACACGCGCTTCGTTTCTCGCTGTTATTTATTAGTTCGTTGTAATACAGTTCGTCTCTCGCTGTTATTTGTTATTTGTTAGTTCGTTGTAATATAGTATAGTTGTTATTAAATCGTAAAAGTGTTTATTACTTCTATACATTACACCTCGCTACACTTTCTTCTAGGAATGTGAACAAACATTTCAAAAGAAATTTTTTTTTTTTAACAGTTTTTTCAACCAGGTCATTGTGACCTTTTTGGAAACCACACACTATTCAACATTATCAAGTTATGATTTAATTCAAGATCATGTACAGATAGGAATAATTAAAATACTGAATACCCAATTAGAGTTTACTACAGTGATATCTACTGATTTGAGGTTGAGAACACTGTTCTATATTACTGGTAATAAGATATCTTATTGGAGTATTTTAATTTTTTACTTTAAATGAACAGTTATAGTAGTTTTAATTCTTACCTACTGGTGAACCAAAAGCTGCTGCAACACCAGCAGCAGCTCCACCAGATACAAAATCTCTTTTTTCATGATCTTCTCTAAAATAACTAAACGCGCCAAAATCAGTGTTGAAAGTAGTACTCTTCCCTTGAGAAATTCCAGCAGCTACAACTGCTCCAGCATGAATCATAGGACCTTCCTAATACAAAAAATAAATTATTATTACAAATAAAGATAAGGAAAAATATAGAGTTGTTCTATGCTTACCTTACCTCCACACATACCACCTACTACTGTAGTGATCACTCCAATTACTTTCACAAATAATGTCTTAATTCTTACTAACCTAGGTATTTTTACACCATTTAAGTAACATTTAACTTGAGGAATACCAGATCCTAAAGCAACAGGCTGTAAAATTTATAAAATAAAATAAAGATATAAGATATTAGCATTTAGTGAAGGCATAAATTTAAACTTACTTCAACATATGAAACTAACATTGATCCAATGAAAACGGGAACAATATTAAAAACCAATAATAACAGGTAGGGTTTCCATAAGCAATTATATTGGCCACAATTATCTATACCTAATTTTTATTTAGTTGAGGATTAATTGGTAAAAATAATACTAATAATTAAGATGTTGATTTTGCTATAATATCTAAGAGATATTTCATTATACCAAGTGTATAAGCTTAATTCTTATTATTTAATCAAAAGAATACATACTTTTATCAATAAATCATAGATCATAGAAAAATAAAAAAAATATAATTCAAAATAGTTTCCCTTACTAGTTAGACATTTCCCCCATTTCTTGAGTAATTTTGTAGATACCACATCAAAAGAAATCCTTCTCTTTTGAAGCAAACCTTTCAACCAACCATTTCCAGATATCTTTGTACAAATCGAAGTGCTGCTCAGGGAGCGTGTGATCCATTGATAAAAAAAGTAAGTCAAAAGGGGCCAATTCTGGAAAATAAGCGAGATGAGGTAACATCTTCCAATTTAGTTTTTCCAAATAGTTTAAGACTATTATGACGCTTGCAATTGTGCATTGTTGCAGAAAAAAATTATCTTATCATATCTTTGCTGATTCAGATATATTTTTTTTTTTATTGCCTATTATAACCCTATGAAGAACTGAGTTTCTTTTGTCTCTAGTGAGCAACATTTTACATGTGTCTAGACATAGCTCCATTTATCTATCATGTAATTCTTGTGGTATCCATTTTTTCCATCAATTGTTCAACAAGCATTTTTTGTGTTTAAGTACCATCTTTGTCAAAAAAAGCTTGCAATTAATGGTACTCAGGCGTCCTAGACTAATTTTTATGTTTCTTATCAAAGAAGTCGAAATTATGAATTTAAACTGATAAAACAAATTACTGAACATTGTTTCTGATAAAGCACACTTTCCATAACCCTCCACTATTATTTGATGGGATTGACTGCCAATCTCTAAAAAATTGAATTAGATAGCAAAGCTTCCTGCATACATTCTTTTTCTGGTAAAATACTTGTCATAATTACCAGAGAAAAAAATATATATTGTTGCATGAAATTGCTTAAAATAAACATTAATAATTATTGATAAATATCCAACTAATGAAAAAAATAGTTTACTGTTTTTCCATAATAGATTAATATACTCAATAGTATCATTTTTGCATAAACGGCAGAATTAAGTTTACACACTTGGTAAATCATACAGATTTTATAAAAAATGTTTATCTATTATAAAAAAATTTATTCTGACAAAAACTGAGTTTGTTAAAGTTAATATGATCTCTATTATCATATGCATATCATGACATACAATAAAGATTTAAAGAAGTTTCTCTAAGGCTGTTTAACAACATATTAGTAATAAAAATATTGCATTACAAAAAATGAGTACCTCAACAATATACTACTAAAATTGAAAGCCTTAATACATACACAAATAACAGTTGCATACATTTTAAAAGGATACTTTTTTTAACATGGCTAAATTTAAAACCAGCAATTACTTCAATAGATAAATCAATGATAATTCCAATGGTGGCCGTAATTAAACCAATCCAAAAGAATGTTACCCAACGTGCAAAATTTTTCTTAACAACAAACTTGTATCCTTTTTTGCGTTCTTCATCACGATAAACATAATTTTCAACAACTTCATAATCTAAACTCTAGTCAATTTATCAATTCAAAATTAAATAAAATTAACAAACACTATTATTACATGTTAGGAGGGGATAATTGAAATTATTTGATAATAATAATAAGTGATCAAAGTATTCTAATAATCAAAACAATCATTTTAAATAATATTAATCAAATTCTAATTATTTCCCGTCTTTGAAAAAATATATAATTTATTTTTAAAATTATAAAAATTTAGGTAGGATCTTCTTAATTCTTGATATCTTTTAACTCGTTAATTAAGAGTATACCAAAAATTATTCAATGATTATTTTCATCAATATACTCAGCATAAGGTGCACTATGTTGTCATAACAAATATTATTTTTAGCATGAAAAGTAAAATATTTACTTCATATTTAGCAGATAGAATATTGAGTGATCCAATTGGTACAGACTCTTCACGGTTATTAAACAATGCATACTTTCGATTAGGTGCCATAGTACCGTAGTTAATCTAAAAACAGTTATATAACAATTATAGAAATTTAAGGTCCTAAACAAAACAAAAAACTTTTAAGTACTTTACTTTCTACACTTACATTAGTAAACAAATCAGATATATTAACTCTACTCATTAATGAAATGGCAATATTTTGATTCACCAAAATTTAAGGTGTTCAAATTATTCCAATTTATAAATACCTAAAAATACATAAATATTATAATTTATTATATTGTATGATTATTATTACATGTATTGAACTTACTAGATAAGTAAACAAACATCCTAGAAAAAGAGTTTACTAAAATATGTAAATTTTGTCTTTTAATGTTTTCGATAAAAAAATAATAACTTAAGAACTCCCAAATTACTCATTTATTTATCAATGACTGTTCAATACTAACACCTGTTATTATCAAAACTATAACATATTGCTCTTATCTTGAAAAAAATGACTAAGAGTTAATCTTTATTATGCTTGTTTACACCAATTTTAAAGCCCATTTGTAAAAAATAATTTTTTTTCAGTTCTATACAATTATTGTTTTTTTTTTTTGAGCGGGGTATAAAGATAAAATATTAATTATAATTATAATCCAAAATAATGAAAAAAAGACTAAATGTTTTTAAATTGAAAAATATCCTAAGTCCAAATTAAATAGAAAAAATACTAAGTCCCCGAGAGTAAGAATCTTGAGTAGAGTGTCACAGATTTTGTGTATTTTGAAATCACCGAAAAATCTCATTTTAATAGGAAAATGATTTTTTATAGTCAGAAGAGGGTAGTGTGGCAATTCCTAATGTGATTTTAGAAGCTTTGGATCTTAATCAATTGTTAAATGACATTGGCTGGATTTAATTGAGAACTTACATATAGACGTTACTTTAAATCTGTACATTAATCGGATTTAATTCCCTAGTTTATTGATTATTATATGTTTTAAAGAAGGGTTCCCTGTTTTGGTAATCTTGTGAATTCATAATATATGACATACATGTACAAAAGATAGCATGATATAATATTCTAACATTATAAGTGATAATATAATATTACAAATAATACTTATCTTACAAAAATTATAATGATCCATATATTTTTCAAAAAGTTCTAGAAATATAAAGTTGTGATGGTGTCACGTTACCATTATTGTAAAAAGTTATTATAATAAAATACAGATAGCCCATCCGCTTCTAGATACTGATAAATCAACGATAATATTTAGTGTAAACGATTAATATTTATTGCGAAAGTGGTAACAGTCACAAAAAAAAAACACATCATAGTAAAATTAATACATTCTCGGCTTTGCATCGAAGCTAAAATAATCCTTCATTGATGAATAAAATACTGTTTTATCATGCAATAACGTCAGTCTTTTTTCAAAAATAAAAAAAAAATGTGATCAAATTTTAAAAAAACAAGAGGACATAAATTCAATTTTTAATAGACCTAATTCATGATGAATTGACTCAAAATGGTGTTCAATGTTTGTTATATTTATACGACAGAGCACCTGACAATGAAAAATCTTTGAAAAAACATCGTTTTAATTTATTCACAAAATTTGAAACAAAAAATAAAACTAATCTTACAAGTGCAGTTATGGCTCGGTCGTAAAAAAAATTTGAAGAGTGGGGATTAGTTTTTTGAAATAATATATTGTCCCCAGTTACAACATTGAAAGCTCTAGCACCCTACCAAATACTTAAAAGCATATCATGCAGTTGTGCCAAAGGTTGTGATAAAAATTGTGGCTGCTGAAAAACTGGACTTAAATATTCTATTATATTTGAACATTGCCTCTGACTTCTGGGTATGTTACCATAAAATAAATACTTCTGATAATGAATTATGATATTATATCACGATTTACTCACATTTCTTATATGTAATTAAATACATATAATTTATAAGTTACCATTTTATAATATCATTGTATTCAATTGGACAGCTAATTCCCATAAATATCAATACGAATTATGCAAGCAATTCAAAATATTGAAATCAAATATATCATCATTTAGCATTTATTTTATTAGTTTTATAATAAAGTAAACACAGTGGCATAAACAGAATTTTATTTATAAAAAATCTATAAAATTCCATATTTTGGATCTTATTTTTTTTGCTTATCACTTCTTTTAAAGATGAATATTTCTATCAGCTCTTAGCCTCTCTGAATAAACATAAAGTCGACCTTGCATCTATTAGTAGAATGTAAATTACCATTAATAAATTTGTTTTTTGACCAATAAAATTTTGACATCGCTTAACTATATAAAAAAAAATTATGAGTATAAATAGCAGCACACCCCTAAAGTTGGCAACGTTCACGCTTATTGTTACCCATATTTCAAAGTTATGTAACTAAATAAAAAATGCATGTGTTTTTCAAAAAATTGGTTTTGTACTACTGCTTTTTAAGTGTACTTTTGAAAAATTACAAAATTGGCACCTTCCCTCTTGACCTTAAAAAATAAAGGACAAAAAAAATTCTTTTACTTCTTTTAAAAAGTTTTGCTAACTAAAAATGATACTTGGGGGGAAATCAAAATAATAACACCATTGGATAGTATTTTTCAATTGCTTCAAAAACTTTTTTATATTTTTGTACGATAAGTTAAAATTGACTGATAAGGATTTTGTTATTGAAAAAACACTTCATTTTTTATTTATTTGTAACTCCAAAATTTTGAAAATGGAAAAAAATGATAAAGAGAAAAAATATTTGTTTATGTATGTAGATCTTCATTTGCTACCCCTTATTAATTAAAATATTCACTATACCACTCATATAATATATGAGTGGTATAGTGAATATTATAGTTTATGGTTCGTTATTTATTTAGTTATTTAGTAAGTTTACAATTTTTAATTATACTCACAATCTAAAAATATTTCAATGATTATACCAATGAAACATGAAAATTTCCTTAACACAAAGTACGGCCATTTACTTTGTTTTTAACTCATTTTTTCCAATGCTGCATATGGTCTTGTATGAAAGACACAAAGCGTGATATATTGGTCGTCACATTGCACAAAGCGAAACAATATTAATAATTAGTTTGCACATTGCATATTTCCAGTTCAAACGATCCAATTACTATTGCATATAATGCTTTTTCACAAATATTAAACATGCCGCCGCCATGTAAACGTTTTCCCATCGCTATAACCGAAGCTAACTATAATGAGATCAACACAGCAGGATGATGTTTCTATGAACCTTTTGATTTTATGCGCCAATACATTCTCAAGAGTGTAAAATAGTATTGAATTTTTACTTTTCAGCGTTGTAGTAATGGCTAGTAATGAAAAACACTCTTCTTTTTATATTCATAACATACTTATACTACAAATTCAGCTGATACTAGTGCTACGTTAGGCTGTAATCCTGGACGTTTTCCCTATGTTTACCTTAATAATACACTAGAAAAGAAATTTACAAACAATTTTCTTCTTACAATTTTTTTTTTCAATATAAAAATTTATCACTAATTTGGTTTTCGTACACCGAGTTGTTGTCGGTCTTCTCTTTATGTCTGCATGACCACCACCATCTTATCGTTTTTCAGTTATAAGCTCTATGGCTTTTGCGAGCCAGTAGTCTTGTATTCGTTTTTGTTATAATTTAAAAAAAGTAAAATATCACCTTTGCGATTGTCGCACCCTTGTGCGCTCAGTATATCACCGTTGGGTCTATGTATTTTCTAAGATACATCAAAATACCGTTTACGACATATTGTACACGTTGGTCAGCTACTTCCATTTGATATCAATGGAACCTTTCAATATACAACATTATTGTCAACCGTTTCAATTAGCCGATAAGTATAATGCTTGTTCTTCTTTTTTTTAAGACTTAAATTTATAACTTGTTATTTGTTTATATCAGCGCCATTGTGGCATGAGTATTGAGTGTCCCCCCTATCCACATTGGCGTCTATAAGATTTTATGATCCACGTAAAATACATTTAATTGTTATAATTATATATTATAAAAATCATTCTACATTCATTTATACAGTCCACTCACCTTATTCCTTTTCCTGGACGTAGCCGGACTTAGGACAAAATAAGACAACGAACGATAACAAAACCGCGTGAATACCACCGAACGTTGCGTTCATTCGTTTTTAAATTTACTAATGATGTTTTTAGTACAACACAATCATAAATTTTTGTTGGTTTGTAATATAGTAAAAGTTCAAGACGTTTATACAATCAATAATCCGTTCAAAAGATTCAATATTATTTCAACACTGTCTGTATATTTGAGTTCCTTCGATCGACTATCAAAAAATAGAATTTAAAATATAAGACGTAATTAAAAACTGTACACACTATATAGAAAATACATACTTAAAATACATTTACATTCAAACAATTAACTTGATATGATAAACAGTTAACATATTATTTAAAGATTGGGTCCAACCAATATGTCAAACTTGTGTAACGTTTGGTAATATAACATATGAATTTATCCAATACATAAATATTTTGACAAATTTGTACTCTGCACTAGGATTCGATTCATACAGCAATAGTAATATTAAAAAATAAATAAATAAAAAATAATAATTTCTTTTATTGATAGTAGATAAGTTAGAATTTTATTTTTGTTATTATTTTTTAATTTACTAAAGTATGTTTTACCAATTATATTAAAATTCGAAATGTTGCGAGTGATTTTATTTCTGAGTAACAAGTAGTATTTCATTTAAAATAAAAATTCAATAATATTTTACATAAACCCTATTTAAAAAAACATACATATAATATATAAAAATCATTAATATTATACTCCGACCATAAGAAATAATTTTCTTGTGTGTAAAATAATTTTACCACCAAAATGTAGAAAAGAATATAATTGCCAAAACATTGCAGATTACCTACGTTAGTATAAATGTATGAAGTTATTTCAACGATAATTGTGTACCATTGAGGTAAATATTACATACATATTTTATAATTAACGCCTGCGTGTATAACTATTCTGATTACACTATATCATTAAACTACACACTTAATATTTATAACAGAAATTGTAAAAGATTTATTTTAAACATAAAATCTTTATGTCTAATTTTTAGCATCATTTGAATTCTCAAAGAATACGTTCCGAACTGCTGCAGTAGTTCCTTAAAACTTAACAACAAAGTAGAATATTGTAATGAATAATCATAAGAGTCCGTCTGAATTATCATCATGACCTTTAAGGGGGATTTTTAATGTTTTTTTATGTCTACAACTGGGTATTTTATGTACGATGGGCGATTGAGAGTTATAATAATGTAATGACACATCTTCATCGAATCGTATAGTGTGACGACGCATATTCACATCTGTTGAATCGTTATGTCTTTTAGTAGATTCAAATAGCTGTGATTTCGTCGCTGTGAATTTAAATATTATTTTTATATGTTACCTAATAAAAGAAAAAACATATTTACTAGATTTACTATTCTTTAGGTTTTTATTTCCTGAAATCCTAATAGGTATTTTTGAAGCCCGTCGCGGTCTGTTTACTTGTCTAGACAATTTAGGAGAGACGTGTTGTGATGATGAAGAGGCTGGCATTTCAGCAGCTTTAAAACAAATATGACCAGGAGCACCAATATCCAATGGAATTTTTTCATTATTTGGTGATACGAGGGGTACAACTTGCAATAGTGTGCAGCGTTCGGAATAAAGTCTGTCCAGCTTATCTGTTATTATTTTAGATATTGCAGAGAACAGAGTCTCCTCGTTAAAGTGGCCTTGTTGAACACATGGTTTTATCAGGTTTGAAATCGTCGTCAATGGTGATGGTCGAGCAGTGTTTTCACCATCAGGTCGTCTGATTATATGTGCCGGCCTATTTTCTTTTTTGTCACTCTGTGATCCCTGGGAGTTGGAACGTAGAGTCAGTCTAGTCTCTTTCTCACGCCTAGCCTACATAGTTATACAATTTACATAGTTACCCGTTGTAAGCATAGTTGTAAAAAATACTTTTAAAAAGTATTTTAAATAATACTCAAATATTTTTAAAAAAATGTATTTAAAATACTATTTGAATACTTTTCATACAAAAGTATTTGAGTAATACTCAATTACTTTACAAAAGTATTTCAAATACTAAGAAGACAATTAAAAATTAATAATGTTTTTATTTAAAACTAAGAGCAAAAGGTTCCACCTAAATAATTACCAAGAGGGTAATTTGAGTCAAATATTGAGTACTCTTAAATTAAGAGAACTCATTTATTATTTTCGATATTTTTTGTTAGAGGTAAATAAAATTAATTATTGGAGACTAATCAATGAAAAAAATAAATATTAGTACACGTGTAAAAACCTGTAAAGTATGTCTTATTGACAATAGAGTAAATCATTTGAACCTGCAATAGGCTATTGTAGGTTCAACTGATGTATTAAAAATAGATGTATACATAATAGCATTTAGATAAGCACAATAATTATGTTATACTATAATGTAACATATAAAATAACAGAGAATTATTCTCAATTTTCATTTTGACTGAGTTTAATTTGCTTGCTGTGTTACGGTTAGCAAATTAGAAAAAAAAAGTATATTAATAGTACTGAATATTAAACAGTATTAAATACTAAATAATTGTATTTAAAATACTACTCAGATACTTTTTATTAAATGTATTTAAAAATACTATTCAATACCAATGAAAGTATTTGAATACTTTTATTCAAATACATTTACTCAAATGATTTACGCCTTTGGTTGTAAGGCATTGTGCTTATCAATTTTTATATTTGAACAAGTCATAAAATTACTTACTTGTGACTCAAAAAAGTGAACTAGCTGTTTGACGTGACCTGGTTGGATTTGACAGTCCATGTCTGTAAGAGTCGTTAAAAGTACACTCAAAAAAATTGTTCGAAATCTTAATCACACAATGTATTGTATGTAATGTACAAAACTGTAATTATGCAAGCAATTAATTAATAAGATACTATAACAATAATAATATACAAAAAATATTATTTTATGCCAATATTTGATAAACAAAAATAATATAATATTGAGAAAAAATCACACAATAAATTTTAGCATTAGAAGTTTTCTTAGAAGTAATAAATTAATAGTGATTTATTATTTTGAGTAAATATTTATATTATCTTTTTGTCATTATGCTTTTACATGATAGTTGTGAATAATTTATAATTATTATAAAAATAAATATTTAGGTTTTTGTTTATTTTAATTTTAATTCTATATTAACCATAAAATGTTGATAAAAAAAAAGGCGTGAAGTTTTGATTTTTCAATTCTATCTACGTATTTTATAAAACGATAGTTATATTAACACAAATTATGTGGTCTTAAAAAACAAAGAAATGTATATATTTTGTAAAGATATTGCCATTAAGAGAAAAATATAATTTTAATTATTATCATAAAATTATCTTGAAAAAAAATATATAAATAAGTTTATAGTTTAAAATAGCTCTTATAAAGGTTCTTAAAACGAGCATTATTTTTATTAGCTAATAAGTTGGTTAAAAAAGTAATGTGTAATTAACTTAAAATTAACTTCAATGATAATTTTAATGATATTATAATTAGTTACAAGCAGCGTAAAAATCTGTTAAATTTTCTTAATGTCAAATTTTTAAGTTTTCCTGACAATTGTCAGGAAAACTTAAAAATTAATAATAAAAAAAAATAATAATAAAGAAATTCATTAAATATTTTCGAAATGAATTGAAACATAGTTATATATTGATAGTTTAAATAATATCCATTTTTGAAAATGTTTTTAAAAGTATTAACTGTAGTTGCAGCCACCAACTACCAACCATCGCTCTGGGGATGGACTCTGCAATTAGTCCGAAACGTCACAACTCAACTGCAAACATGGATAAATCCTTAAGCACTTCAAGCAACAAGACTTTAGCTTTAACACATTCATGATCAATTTATATAATAATTTTTGTTTTAAGTTATTTTTTAATATTAGTAAAAAAACTATCGCCAAAACATGATACATATTTTGTATATAGAAATAAATGAAATATTTGTAAAATAAATTATAGTATAGTATACATTAGCAATTTTGATGAAGTTAGATTTTTTTAGATTTTTATGAAGAATAGTAAAAATTATAAGAATTAATCTCTAATTGCATACAATTCCTTTTAAAATGTTTATTCTTTAAACAATAATAGCATCTATGAATTAAAAAAAAACCCAGCACAGGGGGGTCGCGGCACAGTGGTGACGTGGCATAGTTGGATCAAGTAAATGATATCTGACAGTGATTAAAATCACTATCAAAAATAAACGCTTCGATGCAAATCTTTAGATAGTGTTTAATTTTAAAAAAA